GTCGTCAACATAAACCTCCATGTTTCGGCCTTTTTGCTCGGCGAAAACCTGATCAACCAACCTCTGATATGTTGCCCCCGCATTTTTCAATCCGAAGGGCATCATTCTGTAATTGTACAACCCGGAACTTGTTATGAACGCTGTTTTAGCTCGGTCCTCGGGGTGCATGAAGATCTGATGGTATCCCGAGAATGCGTCCATGAAACTGAGCAGAGCATGCCCGCTTGTCGAGTCGACCAGTTGGTCGATCCTCGGCAGCGGATAGGAGTCCTTGGGACATGCCCTATTCAGGTCCGTGAAGTCAACGCACATCCTCCAGTTACCATTTGCCTTCTGAACCATTACAACATTGGCCAGCCACTCCGGATACTGACAGGGTTCAATGAACCCAGCATCTAGGAGCTTATCGACCTCAGCTGCGATGTTCTGGTTCTTTTCGGCGGAGTAGTTCCGCTTTTTCTGCTTAATGGGTCGACTGGAGGGGTCGACATTAAGCCTATGGGAGACGAAGTCCGGATCAATCCCGGGCATTTCTGCGGCTGAGAAGGCGAACACGTCTCCACTGGCCCGTAGGAGTTGGACGAGTGCCGCACGGGTGTTTGGCTCCAGTGACGACCCGATGCTAACACATCTGTTCGGATCTCCTACGGTCAGTTCTATTGACTCGGTCAGGTCATCCGTTTCCATGCTCTTAGAGTTGGATTCCTCGAATTCCGGCCTGCTATCAATATTAGCAGACTTTCCTGACCGCGGCTGGCCATCAGAGTCGTTCGGCCCTGAGGCGGAGTCAGCCTTTTGGCCCCCATCAGATTTCTCGTTGTCTGGGGCTTCATTAGCCGAAACGTCTGAGCCTCTCGGCTTTTTGGCGTTTCGGTCCCGGTGCTTTTCCTCCCCATCGCCACGGTCGCCTCGGCGAGACGTGGATGGCTTGAGGTGATTGCATCGGCGGGCTTCTTTTTGACTGCCCTTTATTTTCTCGGAGCGTCCCTCGTCTGAAACGTATATCATGATTTGATGATACGTGGAGACGACTCCTTGAATGCCGTGAATGAGGGGTCTCCCCATGATCACGTTGTATGCAGATGGAGCATCTACGACCAAAAATTCGGCCATGATATTCCTAGCTGCTCGGCCTTCGCCGATGGTGACAGGAAGTGTAATCTTCCCGTCAGGATACGAGGAAGAGCCGTTGAACCCAGACACCGGGTAGGGTGCGGGGGCCAGGTGCTCGGCTCCCATCCTCAGCTGGTCGAACGCTCCTCGGAAGAGGATGTTCGCCCCGCTACCGCCGTCGACGAGGGTCCGCCAGACGTTGCGGTTGGCGATGCCCAGAATGATTACTAGTGGGTCATCGTGGGGGTATACCACCCCCTCACAGTCTTCGGCTGTGAACAGGATGTTCGGCGCCGGTGACTGGGACTGCCGAAGCTCAGCCTGATGAATCTGATGGGTTAGACCCCTCAGTTGGCGTTTGGCTGTGCCTCGCGAGATTCCCCCGGAAATAACCAGGATGTCGAGGGACTCCTTGCCCTGAGGTCCCTTATCCTTCTTCCGAGCGAAGTTGAGGTCCTGCCGAGAATCTTTTTCAGCTTTTTTCTCCTCGCGCCTGTCCGCGGCCCTTGCGGACCAGATCCTCAATCTGGTCCTTCAGCTGGACGCAGTCCTCGGTGCGATGTCCGGGTGAGTCATGGAACTCGCACCACTGGTCCTTTCCCCTCGTCTGATGCCAGGGAGGCAACGGACGAGGTTTTTTTAAATCTCCCCTCGTCCTTCGTCGTGCTGAAAATCTTAGCACGGGGAAGGGAGAGTGGAGTGTATGAATCGTACCTTCCCGTGTAGGGAAAGTGTCTTTCCTTCTTCGGCTCGGCAGCAGAGGACGGTTCTGAGGCCTTAGCCTTCCCTTTCCTCTGCGCCGAGACTTCGGGCTGCTGCCCTTTCGGCTTCTCAATTCTCGGACGAGACTGAGACCTGTCTTTCCTTCTTCGGCTCGGAAGCAGAGGACGGTTCTGAGGCCTTAGCCTTCCCTTTCCTCTGCGCCGAGACTTCGGGCTGCTGCCCTTTCGGCTTCTCAATTCTCGGACGAGACTGAGACCTGGATCTGTTCCACTCCTCGGCTCGGATGAACCTATCCGATGCTTCCAAGGCTTCCTCCAGGGTCTGCGGGGGATGCATGACCATGAAGTCCAGGAACTTTCCAGCTTGGAGGCCGTTCCGTAGCGCGAACACGGCCAGGCCTTGATCCAGGCTTGTGATTCCGGATGACTCGTTGCTGAAGCGAGTCAGATAGTCGCGGAGGCTCTCGTCCTCCGCCTGCTGCAGACTCATTAGCTCTGCAGTGGTCTTCTCTCGGCGGTTGGCCGTAGAGAATTTGCTCTTGAACTTGTTGGAGAGGTCGTTCCAACCGGTTATGGAGCCTTCCTTGAGCCCTTTGGTGATCCAGGATTGGGCAACACCTTTGAGGGTCGTAGGAAAGTATTTACACCAGGTAGCCTCAGACCTCGGGTTCAGATACATGTGCCCCTCGTAAGAGGCAATGTGATCCTTAGGATCTGAGGTACCATCGTAAGTAATATGTGCCGGGATTTTGACCGTTGGCACATGCTCTTCCAGAATCCACTTCTGGAAGGGCGAGTTCGATGGAACCATGACCGCCTCCCCCTTGTACCCGGCCTTAGGGACCTCGCTCCCTCCTCTCTCAGAGGTGGAAGTGGTTTTCGTCCCCGGCTGAGACAAGGTTGGGTGGGGTCCGGTATCCTCTGGGAAGGTGAGGCGGCTATGCACACTCACCTCCCTCGAACCCAAGCGTTCGTGAACGCTTTGGCGGGCGAATTCCGGGTCCTTGGAGGGCCCCATGGAATTCTGAGCTTCGGAGTGGTCAGAGGGTTGAGGGTTCCTCCTCCTCTCCTTACTGGAGTTTCGGGTGTCCCCTCGCCACCTCTGGCCGAGTTGTCTATGTGGTGGAACTTGTCCACCATCATCCTGACCGATCCTCCTTTTCAGGTTTCTCGGCTGGTGATCATCAGGCATCTGGATTGGAGCCCCTTGAGCTTTAAGGAACTCCATGCAGATGGCCACTGCTCTGGCCACTTCCTCGGTGGAGGGTCCGGAGAGAGGAGTCTCCCGCGGATGCGACCTGGATTGCACGCTATGGCGCGGCGGGGAGTTCCTCGCACCTGAGCCACTCGGTCTCGGGGATGGCCCCGGCTGCCGAGTGTGGTGCGAGGTGTTCTCCTCCTGGAGGCTAGGACCTCTTGAGGCTCCCCTTTCCGGAGAAATGGGGGCCTCCGATTCGGAAGAGGCTTGCTCCGGGGAGGGATAAACCGGCTGGCGTTCCCTCACCGTAATCCGGCCTCCTCCCTTCTTAGCCTTCTTGGAACTCTTTCCACTCTTAGTCATGGCGACTGCCGGAGTGTTTGATGACTGACGCGAAATTTAGTAGCGTTCCCCACAGACGGCGCCAAATTGTTTCGGATGAAAACAATCGAATCTCGGAAGATCCTTTTATCTTGAGGGAACTTGGTCTCGGTCCGAACGACGCCGGAGCCGAGGGTTTCCTGCACAACAAATACACGTAAACTAGCCTCGGGGGGGACGCCGAGGAAGGCCCCTCCGATGCTTAAGTCAGTATATTAGAGAGAGAAAGCTGTGCAAGAGTTTAGTTGCTTGAGGCTTATTGTCTTTGTCTTACTCTTTCTTACCAAGAATTGACCAAATTGTTGGCTTTTATACCTTGGCTAATGAAGGAGGCGGATTGGGCCCGGAAATCAGTTGGGCTGGGCCAAGCTGATTGGGCCGTTGACTGACCTTGACATGGCTTTGAGGATGTTGATTTTTGACTTTAGCATATTTGGAGAGTTGAACCTTTGCCTTGGGCTTTTAATTGGATCATTCAGTGACCAGGCCCAATTGGACTAAATTGGACCCAAACAGAGTATATAGCAGAATGAGTGAACTGATTCAAGAACATGACCAAATAGTGAAATAGTAGCACAATAGCAAGACTGCATGGGGTAAGTTTCTCTTCCAGGAAGTACCAAATTGAGTAGTTTGCTTTTACTCTTGGAATGTAGGAACTAAAGTTAGTTCTTGCAACCAAATTGTGATGATTTGATCCAATCAAGGTGTGAATTAAGCTTATTGTTAAGCCATAAGCTTATTATTGTAGAGGGATTTTTTATTTAATATCAATAATCAATAATCAATAATATATATATACTAAAAGACACACCAGCCATGACACGTGTCGATTTCTGGTGTGTCTTGAGTATATTTTTTCTTTTAATAATTAATTACTAAATTTTATTTAAGGAATTTATTTAAAATAAAAGGTTATTTTTGTCAACTATATAAATGAATAATAATATTTACTATTTTTTATGTTGATACTCAATTAATTACGTAATAATAAGGAAATATATAATCTTTTTCAAAAAGATGTATTTTTGGTGGAATATTTTTTAAGAATATTTCATGTTACTTCAATTTTGTTCAAAATATCAAACAATTTTTATATTTTATGCTATAATAAATTAATTTGTTAAAAGTGATTAAAATAACTTATCGTGCATGGCACGGGACCTAACCTAAGTAAAATAACAATAACAATGCCAACATTCATTCCACCAAAACAAACCATTCTACCTAATTCCTTCATCAATTACATAAATTAACCACAACATTCATTCCACCAAACCAACTCCTGAGCTCTGCTTCTGCCCCTTCGACAACTCCTGCTATTTGAATTTTGATTGCTACAATTTTTTTGGTTTTATATTTTTATTTTTTTAGCCAATTTTTTTTGTCTCATTCCTTACTGTATTTTTACCATTATAATTCTTGTACTCATTCTTGCATTACAGCACTTGTCAAATATCATGACCTCCAATATAATTATTTTTCCTTAGAAAATGAGGAAACAAATTTGCCAACTACTAAAATTGAGTACTGATGAAGTTTTAAACGGTTCAGGCTTTTTTCTTCTTTTTTTAACATAGGCAAAATTGCAAAAGCAATGTTCATTCAACTCGAAACAAGAGCATAGTACTTCCAGGCATAATAGGCATGGCAGATGAACTGCAACTACTTGACTACTTCAGTTTAGAGCTAGGTGGAGTTTCTTAAAAGTGTCAGCTTACAATTTTTTGCTAAAAATTTCTTCAAGATAAGAAACTTTTTCAGTGAAATATCTCATCTATATACACAAGATGCCAACAACCTCAATTTTGTCAAATCCCTAACAAAATTTTTTGAGTTATTATAATGATGATATACATTTTGGAATACACCGCTATCCCACGTAAAAGAAAACAAACTGCTTCCTTATTGAAGAAAATAGGCTTCTTCAGGCCATAGCCTCTCCAACCTGAAATGCAACACATCATCAAACTAATGTATAAACTCCTCAGAAAGACAGAAAGGTACAGAGCAACATATAACAGCGATATGCTAAGCATATAACCATCTCTAACTAACTCCCTAAACTCCAGCTTCCTGGTGGTCTGGAGTCATGGAAATGCATGATGTTAAAGAAATTGCAACCCCATAGATACCGACCACTCTCTGAAACAAAGGTAGAATGTTGGTTTTACACATGCCATTGAAAGTAATTATTCTAAAGTCTGTCTGAAAAATAAAATCAGATATAACTACACAATAGATCCAACCAAATATAAAGGGATAAATAGAAATTTTTAAGCAGTCAAATTTTCGATTTAGTAACTCTATAACGGATTGGTTTTATATGGAAAGTTTTGTCTATGAACGTTCCACAGAGGTCTTTAAAGTCAAAACATTGTCAGGCAAGTTCCTATCCCTATCATGAACTATGAACTATGCAATGCCAGATACACATATTACAAAACATCCGATACTGGCAGAATCTGTCATTATAAGCAATTTTGCACAAATTAGGAACTGACCTCAATCTGTAATGACCTATTTCACGTATCTACGTCATTATTGTAACAGCAGCAGCCGAAGTTGATAACCACCTAGGAGTCTGTAATGACCTATTTCACTTATTTGCTTAAAGACCATAAAATAAACTGAGTCGAAGGGGAGACGACAGGATTCAATTTCCATAAGATGAAACGCTAAAACCCCTAGAATTAAAAGAGAGAATACCAGCAAACTAAGTTCATTCAAGCAATTCATCGAACACCTTAAGAGCACATATTTACAAGTCAATTTCTTGTTAAATTTATCAATTATTTCTTCCACTTTTCTTAAAAAACATGAAACATTATTCTATAATTCTTAATTGTATATTATTTTAACACAACTTAAAAATAATATAATACAAAATTAGAAAAACAACTTACAAGAGCAAGCTTAGGAGGTCTAACGCCATTCCTAGGCAACTTTCTAAGCAGATCAAGGCGACCTTTGTCTTGAAACCTCGCCGAAGCGACGAACCTCAAACCAGTCCCAAGCCTCAATTTGTTTATTATTTAATTTAATTATTTTTCTTTTAAAGTTATTATTTGGGATAGTTGGTTTGGCATTGCAAAAGGTGGTGTGGGGAAATGGGGGAAAAGAGAGAAGTTTGATTGAATTTACACACCATTTAATCTTTGATTAGCAGCAATTCTTTTTTTGGATTAACAACGATGGAGCTTTAAGCTCTATAGCCGAGGCTAGTAATGCCGAAGCTTCAAGCTCTATGCCATGGCCGAAGTTTCAAACTCTATTACCGAGGCTAACTATGCCGAAGCTTCAAGTTATGCCGAGGTTTAAGCCATGCTGAAGTTCAAGCTATGCTGAGGCTAGAGGCACCCTTGCCAAGGTTAAGGCTCCATTTAAAGCCAGAGTCCACGGCCGAAGTCCTCCAATTGCCGAAGGTGTGGACGAAAGAGGAATACTTACAAGCTTCCATTATCATCACCAACTTTGCAACCATTTCCACCTCTAACTCTCCTACAATAATGGAAAATGATAAAATGAAATTTAAAATACCCATTTTTAGAAAAATAAAAAATTATTAATAATCATAATAATGAAAGAACAATTTCTTCATCATCTTCTTCTATAAGATTTGTATTTGGTGGTTTAATTTCGAGTTCAAGAGAGACGAAAATAAAATAAAAGGACAAATTAAGCAGAGTATAACCTCTGAGCAAGCTTCGCCGAGGCTCCATTTTTGAGCAATGCTGAGGCTAGCAACGCCGAAGCTTTAATCTCCATAGCTGAGGCTAGCAACGCCGAAGCTTTAAGCTCCATAGCCGAGACTAACAGCTTCGAAGCTTGTAATGCCGGAGTTTGAAGCTGTATGACATGGCCGAAGTTCCAAATTCCATTGCCGAAGTTTAAAACTCTGTTGCCGAGACTAATTACGCCGAAGAACCACCTTCGCATGGCCGAAGTTCCAAATTCAACTGCCGAAGTTTCAGACTCCACTGCCGAGACTAATTATGCCGAAGAACCACCTTCGTAAAATTTGCCAAATATCTTTACTCTCTTTATAAATCCATCAATTGCATCCATCAAAATCTAACCTTCTGCTGTGTAAAATATCTTTACTCTCCTTTATAAATTTATAAGTGGGTTTTAAGAAGCTCCTGAAATTTGGGGCATTTTTTTGTTTTAATGTATAATTAAGGTGAGAATATGTCAAAAATAAACACCAGGTACATTTTTTGAAAAAAAAAGATAAGCAATTTATTTGATATGCAATTTATTAAAGTTAAGATTCTTCAAAATTTCTCTTTAAGGAAACAAGACTCTCTTTCACAAATCATCCCCCAAGCCATTCACAAATGCGAAGTGATGAAGTGAATGCTCTCTTTCACATAACCAAATCATTTTTAAGCCAGCATTTAATTTCTTTTTCCCCCTCTGACACAAAACAAAGATAAATACAGTAAACTAAGAGAAATCAAGATAATTTATCATAGATTGAGAGTATAAATTAGGAAGCTCTAGTCTAGAGTTGCAAGCTGATACGAAAATCAGATGTATGATCAATTGCAGCCCTTACATCGATTAACAGTTTCAGACAAACAATCACACAATAACCTCATTTAAAAAAAAAAAAAAAAAAAACAGAAAACCCAAAAATAAAACATAAAAACAATCTATATTACTTCAAATAGACCAAAATTCAATCTCACAAAAACTAATAAACAAAATCCATCTATGCACACTATCTATATTCAGAGAAAGAGTTAACAAAGAACTAACCTTCTGAAACGCACCAAGAAAACAAAGAACACAATTGTGAATGAAACTAAGCAAATCTCTTTTCCATAATCTGTAAATTAATGATGACTGTGAAACATAAGTAAATAATATATTAATCAAATCAATTATAACTCCCCACAAAATTAACAGACTAATATACATAACCCAATTACATGCCTTATTTTTCCGTTCAAAAATTTATGATTTACTTGATTTAACGTAATAATCTAATTGAATTTTATTTAATGGGTAAAATAACAGCAAAAAGAAAGTCTTTAAGGAAACCTCAATTGCATCCATCAAAATTTGTCTCGGCAATGGAGTTTCAAAACTCGTCTCTTCGTAAAAATAATTTCAAGCACTATGCCATGGCGAAGGTGGTTCTTCGGCGTACTTAGTCTCGGCAATGGAGTTTGAAACTTCGACAATGGAGTTTGGAACTTCGGCCATGGCATAGTGCTTTAAAAGCTTCGGCATAATTAGTTTGAAACTTCGGCAATAGAATTTGGAACTTCGGCCATGGCGAAGGTGGTTCTCCGGCAAAATTAGTCTCGGCAATTGAGTTTGGAACTTCGGCCATGGCATTGAGCTTGAAGTTTCGGCTTTAAAAGCTTCGGCTTTTTTATTTGAAGTTAGTATTGCTCCTAATTCATGCGATGAAACTTGGAAAAGGCATGCTACTAAATGTCGAGGTATTTAGGCTTGTTATTTGAAGTTAGTATTGCGGCATTCTCTTGAAAACTATTACAAAGTTTCAACCTTACATCGATTCCTAGATCATCCTTCTCAAATTTCGACCTTGAGTGGTTTCGGCTGGGAGTTCTTTTCCTCGGCGGAGCTTGCGAAGAGGATAGGTAATCACCTTGGCTTGAAGAAGCTTTGAGCAATGCCGAACCAATTTGCTCGATTCGGATATTTGAGCTTGGCTTGAAGCTATTTAGCCTCTGCATGAATGGCTTCGGCCAAGAAAAACCTCTGCCATCAATGGTTTTGGTTTGGCAGGACCTTCAGCTTGGCTCGGCAGAGGTAGCCTCGACCTTGACGACTGGTTCTCAGCCATGTATGGCTTCGGCTGGGAAGGCCATGATCTGCAAAGAAGCTCGAACCTCGGCATTAATAATCTCGGTCGTAGCTTAAATGGAGCTTTAAACCTCGTCGTTGCTTTGTTAATGGTTAGCTTAGAGCTTCCCATTTCTCGCATTTTTCTGTTTAATTTCACAGAGAATTGTAGGATATGACCTGTGAGCGTATTTTAACAGATTTCAGCAGCTGTAAATGATAAACATAGCCCATTAAAATACACCTTTAGGAGTAGTATTTGTGGATGATAATTAATTTATAGCACACTAATTTCAGAGAGAATCAGTGTGCAAAGAAAAAACAGATCTTTATAGTGTTCAAGATTTAACAATGAAAAATATTGATACTAATCATAATTTCAAAACATGCAAGTAATGAAATGCAAGCAAATCTTGTAGGATATGACCTGTGTGGGAGTTCTTGTACAAGTGCCGCCTTTTCTCTATTTTTTTGTTTTCATTTCTACTTTATTTTTTCATCTCCAAAAGTACAATCAAAACCAACCAATTTTATTATTAAAATTATTGAAAATATTTTATAAATATTAAATTGCAATACAGTACTAAAAAACACCCCTTATGAGTAGCGCTAAGACCCTCAATTTGCTGAAGATGGTTTTCAACCTCTGCTCCGGCCTTTCAACCTTGCTGCAGCTTCGATTTGCTGAAGATGGTTTTCAACATATGCTCCGGCCTTTCAACCTTGATGCTGCTACTGCTGCTGTTGAAGCTGCTGCTGAATCTGCTACTGCTTCTGCTGAAGCTGCTGCTACTGCTGAAACTGCTGCTACTGAAGCTGTTGCTGCTGAAGCTTCTGGAGATGCTGTTGCTGCTGCTACTGTTGCTGCTGAAGCTTCTGAGTTTACTGTTGCTGCTGCTGAATTTTCACTGTCCACAGAGTTATGGACATTCTCAAGCTTCTTTTCTAAAGATTCAATTGTCTGCCCCTGTGAGTTCAGCCGGATGATTTCCTCTTTCAGATCAGCTTTGTCCTTTACCATGATGTCTTCGGATATGGAATTGATAATTTGCATGTTTTTTATCTCAGAAAGTAGCTTTGCAACATTTTCAGCAACATCTTGTGTCCCCAGTTTGTTACATGCAACTTCTTTTTGAAGTATGTCAAGAGCTTTATTTGCTTCATCACCAAGTCGTCTTTGCAGAACTTCCAAGCTTCCGGATTTCTTGCACTAAGAGAGAAGGATCAGTGGATGTAACTGATTGCCTAAGCATCCTGGGTCGCAATGGTGTCTGATGGATAGGCGAGGCACTTTCTCACTTGATTAGATGGGCTGGAGTTACTTGATTCCTACAATAGGAAACAGGGATGAGCAAAAAGAAGAATATTGCAACTGAAAAGCACTGGAAATGGAGTGTCAAAATTCTAAGTTCACCTTCTTTTCCTTGCGTGTACTTTCCAGTTCAAGTTGAGACTGTGCAAGATCTCTTTGTCGCTTAAGCTCTCCCATTTCCCTCTCCAACTATACATGATAACAAGGCTTTAGTCAGTCAATATAATTAAAGAGCAATTTCAAATGCCGGTAACAGCTACTTCATTGCTACAGTCATCAGACAGGGTATTCATGATTCATGTTAATCTGACTATTGAGTATAAGCAATAGGAGGAAAATAATGCAAATTAAAGTCAACAAATCCACTAATGTGTCTAATACCCTCTTCTTGATTCCAAGAGCTTATACACACCCCACTAAGCTAAACCTCAAAAAAAGAAACCAAAACACAAACTGCATCATTTCAGATCATAATTTAGTAGGAATTGTAAACTTACCAACTGTATTGTAGTAACCGAAATGCCCAAACAGCCAATTGAGTACCAACCAAAGTGACAGTTATCCAATGCACTGTAAATTGCAAAAGAACAACAATAAGCCTTAACCATAGAACAGCAATAACTTGTCACTGTAAAAGAGCTAAGTTGCTTCAGATAACAAAATAAATTGCAGAAAATGATCAATTATACCTGGTTTAAAGCCAAACCCAGGTCAAATTTCGTCAAATCAAGTTTAGCAGAGCATAATTCAGCTCCTTCAACCTGCATTTCCGATTCACCTTGTAACATTTTCAACTGAACAGAAGGAATATCTCAAAGATCAGAATCAATGTAGAATCATATTTTGAGAGGAATATCCCAAAGATCAGAAATATAAGCATAAAAAGGACACTTGATGAAAGGGGTGAAGGGTGAGGGAGGGACTATATTTACTGAAATTCCAACTTCTTTGCAAATTCCTCAACTGTGGTATTGTCATCAAAGCTCCCAACCATATGATAATGTGAGAAAGTAGAAGCTGGGAAGTTCTCAGAGGGGTCCAAAATAGCTACTTTGATAGCCATTTCTGAAGCAGCTTGGCATAACATGCGACCGAGCTGCCCACCTCCCAAAACACCCACAATCTTTTCAGACACACCTTGTACAACCAAAGCCCTATACTCACTCCTGAACAAACACGACAAAGCAACAAATAACCCCAATTCCCTGGTCAGAAACTACAATACTAAATTATCAATTCATTAATCAAAAACACTACATACTTCGTATTTCTTAATAGTTCAAAAAAAAAAAAAAAAAAAAAAAAAAACCCACATGCTTATTTTATCAATTACAGTATTAATGCACATAACTCAAGAGTTTCTGAAGGCACCACAATTTAACAATGATACAATATTAATGTACATATTCAAGATATAGTGAAGATACCCACATGTCTCTACTATCAATTCAGAATGTACCCACATTTCTTTTAATCTTTATAATTCAGCTAGAGCCTTAAACCCCAGAAAAACCCCAAATGTACAAATATTGATTATTTACTTGCAGCATCTTGTTTATTGCATTAACCTCCAAATTTGACCATAACATAATGTCCTTCTTACCTAGCAAGCTAACAACTTCTGTCGGTTGGCCAATTATCACTTATCAGCTTACTACAGCACAAAGGAGAGCGCCTACAAAATTGAACAAATCAATTAAGAAATCTATAAAAAACAGAAATCCTAAATAAAACACCCAAATTCTAACTATTTTTTTTTTTTTTTAAGAAAAAAAAACAGAAAAACCAAAAGAATTTTAAAGCCTTGTAACCCAATAGAATTCATCCTTGCATGATTGAAATTAATCGAAATTAATCAAAATTAACTCAAATCTACTGAACTTCATTTTCTGGGTGGCATTAGCATATAAAGAAGGCTTCAAGAATAGCAGGTTTTTGGGTTTTCTCATCCATCCGTAAGTTATGGATTACAAATGTTCCACAAATTTATTTATTTATTAAATTAAACCCAAGAAATCCAATTTAATTAACAAAATCAGAACATGCAAATAAATTAAAAGGCTTACCTTTGACTGGAACATCTTCCACGCCTCCACCAGTGACCGTCGATTTATCATTCAACTCAATAATCAAAGAAGTTCCTCCTTCTTTTCCGCCATGGAAGGATTCACCATCTCCTTCTTCACCGAAAAAAATCATAATCATCACAAAAACATCAAAATCTTAGATCCAAATCACATAAATTAAAGCGACCCACATATATTCAACCAAAAAAATCAAAAAATAAATAGAAAAAATAAACCCTAGAAAAATCGAAAACCAATCGAACAAATAAACCCAAAAAAATCGAGAAATCCAATTTAATTAACAAAATCAGAACATGCAAATAAATTAAAAGGCTTACCTTTGACTGAAACATCTTCCACGCCTCCACCAGTGACCGTCGATTTATCATTCAACTCAATAATCAAAGAAGCTCCTCCTTCTTTTCCGCCATGGAAGGATTCACCATCTCCTTCTTCACCGTAAAAAATCATAATCATCACAAAAACATCAAAATCTTAGATCCAAATCAAGCAAAGTATTGGTATCCTTTATCGAATAATCTCAAATGGTGGCGCGTAGTAGTATTATTATATATTCTTAGTGGTTTCAATTCGCCACCATTTTTAACAGTATTTTTCTTTATCGAATAATCTCTTCTAACAGCATTTTCTTGGCTTAGGCCTGAGGCCATCAGTAGATACATCACGCGCCTACCAAAGACAATCATCAGTTAAGGAAAAGCATGTATAACTAACACAATAATCAAGTAGAAAAAAAAAAGGTGAAAAACTATAAATCAACTCAAACCTGATAGTATATCTCTGCCTCACTAATATTGATCTCATTAAGAAGAGGAAAAGGCATGTTGTTGCTCTAAACTTTGTTAATCATGTCATATATATCCCTAATTCTGACAGGATCAAACTTCGTGGAGGCCCTTCATTTGTATTTGCTAATTCACTTGGAAACAATGTTTTTCGATACTTTCTAGAGTGGTTAAAGCTGGAGGTTGCTCCGAAAGAACATATGAATTGGCTTGATAAACACATCCATGCCTATTTTGCTGTTGGTATGCTCTCTTTAACCATTTATTTGAAAGAAGTTTTTTGCATGCACATATGTGAATGATTTTGTCTTTCTACAGGAGCCCCTTTTCTCGGTGCAACTGAAACAATCAAGGCTGCACTTTCTGGATTCACCTTTGGTGTTCCAATATCTGAGGTTCTTCGTTTGCTTTTATATTGGGCTCATACGGTATATATTGAGCATAATTTTATCATCTGTTGTTTTTGCCTGCAATGTCCATTAGACTGCCCATTAAACATTAACTGTTTTCAGAGAGATTAGGGATATATGTGACATGATTAACAAAGTGATAAACATTAACTGTCCAGCATCATTTTGAGAGTAACTCCTTCGGTATCCCCGGGGATAAGCATGTATGCTAGAGGCGTCAAAAGGTTATGTTCGACGACTCAGCAATACTTTGCCAGGAAAACTACGTCCTTTAAGTAGCCTATAATGAACCATATCAGAAGTAAGAAAATGCACAACACTTCTAAACCATGTCTTTGCATACTCAAGTTAAAGGCAAAAAGCCTTTCAGATTCAACATTTAAAGAAGTGATGCACCATTTAAAGAAGTAAAAAGGCCAAGTCGCATACATTCATACTAATACTATTTTGCAAACAAAATTGAAGTCCAAGTTTCTATCAAGCATGAATTAGCATCTCTATGCAAATAATCAAATTCCAATCATTTTTACCTCACTTTCATCTTTATGCAAATAATCAGATTCCAATCATTTTTACCTCACCTGCAATCTTTCAATGATCAAACAATGTACTTTCCAAATGACAATCAAAATCTAAATCATAATATAGATTTCAGATGGTTAAAGACCCCCATAACATCTAAATAGCAGAATTGGGATCAGATGGCAAAAGAGAGTACAATATAAAGTAGAATCCTTCCTTAATATACAACAAACAGCTCAAATTCCATAAAGAATAGTTACTTTATTTATTTTTTAAAGGAAAAAAAATATAAAAAAAAAAAAGTGAAAAGGAACAAATTGCGTATATGTGGGGAAACCCAGAAATCCAGTTAACTAAGCTTACTTGTGAATTAACCAAAACGTTGAGCTTAAACAATATAGATAAAAATGAAAGATCTTTGAATATAACACTCTTTTAAATTAAGGAACAGTCGATGAACAATGGCTCCAAAAATATATATCTACATACATACAACAGCAAAAGACAGCTGAAGAATTCAAACACATCACACACACACACACACACACACAAAAAAAAAAAAAAAAAAAAAAAAAAATTAAAAATAAAAAAACATGGAAGAACTTTCCCAACAGGGCAACTTAAGGAAAACTCAAAATCTAAATCGATAAGGTAAACTACAGGAGCAATATGTTTAAGATTTTGCATAAACCAAAAAGATACACAGCATCATTACAATAGCACCAAATAAAGAAAAATCTTATCAATAATAACATACGTACCTTGTGGCTTATTGTTTGGCTGTGAGTGGGTGTCATTATCAGCAGATCCTAATCGGAGGTCATTCAAACTTTTTATCGCCAAGTCAAAATCATGTCCACTGTTCTCAAGTGCTTGCTCAATAAGCTGCAGCAACATTCACATAAGTGAAATTAAATAACTACATTATTCATATAATAATATTTTAACAGATATTTAAAATATAGATAGCCAGGTAGACATAATAATAATAGTGAAGATCTCAAATCTCCGGAAATCAGAAAAAGGTGACAAACAGCAGCAACAAAAATAAAAGCATGAAAGTAGAAACAGCAGATACCAGACTTTAGAAGCACAATATTTTACATCAAATATGAATTTGTTGAATTTTTCATGAAGGATGCGATTTAAAACCCAGAAAAAGAAATTTAGGGGTTTGATCTTCAATTTGTAATTTGATTTATGTTTAGTTGATGAATTTTCATGGTATGGCTACTTGACTTTTAATTAATTAGATCATAAATTGCTCTCTTTTTGTTACACACATAACAACCATAAAATTGACAACAAAAACCTTAAAACATGCAGAATACAAGTGAAAACAAAGACAAAAAGAAAGATATTGATACAAGTGAAACTTGAAGTTAAGATATTTTCCTAATGAAGGACTATCTATATCTCGAAAATAGAATACGAAATTCTTCTGGCAGGGTGTCACAGTATAGATGATTACCTTAGATTATATCTTGTTTGATTCTTCTCCCCCTTAGCCATTCCAGCAGGAAGTAACAAAAGCTTAGTCCCTTTTCTCGCCGCAGCAGTCCAAAGGGCTTTAAGATGGAAAGGGAGCCTAAATTGAGGATGATAACCACATAATTTAACACGCATTCTCTGGGCAGATTCAGCTACCCTTTTCACATCCTCTAACAAATTATAATCTGAACAAAATACAATGTCATTATTGCACAGTTTATCAATGTCAAATTGAATGACAAAATCAAACCAAAAACAAAATCAAGTGACAACCAACACCGGAAATTATCAAAATCAGCATTGCTAATAGTAATGAAAATCAAAGCTACAAGAGAAATCCCAAAAGTGAAATTAAATTAAATTAGCAAAACCCAGCTGCCTATTTGCATCCTTCATGAAAAATTCAACAAATTCATAATAACATAGCATCATTAATATATGAATAACCATAAAAATGATATAATAAATTTTTTAAAAAGATGGTATAAATACTAATAATTGGAAACAATGAAAGGGAAGATGGATACCAGAAAGAAGGGTAGAATCGTCAAATTGAGAAAGGTGGATTATCTGGGAAAGGGATTTTTTGCCAGTACAACCAGAGAGTTGTTTGTGGGAATTGACGCAAGGAAGGCTGCAAGTGCGGCGAAAGCAAGCTGGGCATGGCAGCAGATTAAGATCACTATGATCCATGAGAAATCTCAACAATGATCAGTATGATGTTAAGAAAAAAACAAAAGGATACATGATCATGTTAGCAGAAAATAGTCAATTACATATTAACGATCCGATCATAATTTACACACAAGACATTTACTCGTATATAAGTTTATAACGGTATAACATTATGATACCTCCCAAAGATCAAAAAACCCCAGGAAATAAATTTTTAAAAAAGGCGATCGATGACAGATAGGAGTCTTGATTTTGCTCCAATCAACATGCTCAGCTTCTCCACTTCAGAATTTTCCAATTACATGCATAATTTAACACTATCAAATCTCACGAAAACGAAATCAACCAAATTCAGAAGACAGTTCACTAATTCAATTATTATTTTCACTTTGAAAAAAAATTGTGTACCTTAGGTAACGATCTACAAGGCTGATGAATCCAGATTACTCATTCTCACTGCAATCATAAATCATAATCATCACAAAAACATCAAAACACATAAAATTGAAGCGACCCACATAAATTCAACCCAAAAAATCAAAACATAAATAGAAAAAATAAACCCCAAAAAAATCGAAAAACAATCGAACAAATAAACCCAAAAAAATCGAACAAAATCAAATAAATTTGAAAAAGTAAAAAACAAAATTAAACAAATCAATTAAGAAATCTATATGGGTCATCAGAAATCCTAAATAAAACACACCATAAATCAACGCCTATAAATTGCAGGCAACCTAGCAGGCTTAAAAACAAAAATCAACAACCCCCAATTCAAATTATAGCAAGAAATGAACAAAGAATCAAAGAAACCAATGAATAAACATGCATGCATCAAAAATCAAAAATCAACAACCCCCAATTCAAATGGTAAACCCAAAAAACAAAAAACCCCCAAGAAACCCAATTGAATTAAGAAAATAAAAACAAAATTCAATGATTTAAATCACAGCACCTCGTAAGCTGCTTCAATGAAGGGGAAAGGTCGAAATTTGATTTAATAGAGGATTGAAGAGAGCTCAAAAGTTGCTGCAATGGAGGAAAAAGATTAGAAAACCGCTATTCAAATCAATAACAGAAGAAGCTCCTCCTTTACGCCATCGAAGGTTTCACCGTGACTGGTGGAATTAGGCAGCCATGAATTCGAAAAGGAAAAAGAAAGAAAAAGGTTTGACGACACATTAACAAAGTGATAAATGTGATATGCCTTTCGGAAGTAGGAGTAATCGCAGGGTCTCTTTTGATCACTTTTCTTTTGACGTTGATTCCAAGACGTTCATAACTCAGCCCGCAATTCGTCTCATGCAACACTGACCCAAAAACAAAAAAAAAAAACCCAACAAGGTAGACTACTCCTACTCCGTCGTTGTCATCGCCTTCGATTCCCGCCATTTTTACATCTTGATCCGCCAAATTCGCATCCTCTTTACCCAAATTCGAACCTTGTTCCGCCATTGTTGCATCTTCTTCATCATCCGCTACTCAAACGAACAACATCAAGTAACATGCAAGCAAAGAAAAAACATTAACGATCAACAAATATTACAACAAATTGAAGCAAAACTCAAAATCAAACTATTAAAAGCAAACTATGAATTCACCGGAAGATATTGAAGACATCGTTTCGAATTTACCGGTGACTGGTGGAATTAGGCAGCCATGAATGCGAAAAAGAAAAAGAAAGAAAAAGGTTTAGCTAAATCTGGGGAGACGAAGATCTAGAGATGGCCAAGAAAAGAAGAGAGAGAGAAAAGAAGTTCAGAATGAGTAAAGAAGAAGAGAGAGAAAGGAAGGATAGAAGAAATAGGAAGATAAGTTCGGCTGGGAGCCGAAGAAAAGAGGATAAGGACAAAGGAAGGGAAAAAGCACAATACTCTACTGTTCATAATTGGCAATTGATGTGAACTTCTCTCTTTTTAAGAATTGTAGATAGAGCATTTTATATTTTAATACACACAATTCTAATAATCCACCCCCTTTATTCACTCACTCCTTGTGAACTTACTTGTATATGGTGAGAGAGTCTGAGAGTATCCTCGTATCACTTACCCCTATAAAAGGTTACACCATGTCCTATACTCCTATGCTATTTTTATGTAGTCTATTTCATTAATACTTGTTGTCATAGGTTGTTTCCCATGAGTCTATTTCATTAATATTTATTGTCATAGGTTGTTTCCCATGTAGAATCGTGTTTATCTATATTACTTGTATTGCCTATTTCGCCCTTATACTTCTCAATAATGGCGGTTCCATAAATTTTTATCTTATGGGTTCGGATTTGTTAAACACATATTTTATATATTAATGAAAATCAAATAACCTAATTCAAAATACATTACAATTGACAATTCATCCAGAGGGAGCCTAGGTTAATCTCAGATATTAACATTTTAGTTTATCTCCTCTCACAACTTTTATGCATTGATTTCTGTGTCACTTTACTATTTTATCTTTATCATTTAAAAAATAAAATAAAATGATTAGGATATGAGGGAAGACATATTCACAAATTTATCTAGGTAAACTTGAATTTATCCATTCAGGAATCAGGAGTGCACATTTGTTATACAATTTTTCTTTATTTTTTTTTAAAAAAAAAACTATACAAATGAACTTAACGAGTATTAATTACAATAATGGTTGATTTTATAGGTGATTTAGATAAAGTGAGTATGTCAAAAAATAAAGTTATAGCCAACAAACGAGAAATAGAGAAAAAACTTTTGGATGATGGGTAATTGGGGCACGCATTATTAACTTGAGTTTTGAGATAACTTAACAACATGAGAGATTATGTTTAATTGAAAATTGAGGGTTTTAATGTGGAACAAGAGGGGAAATGAAGGGGGGGGGGCCTACTTGAACAGAAAAATGGGCGACAACTTTCAAAACATTTGACATATACTTCTCATACGTCATCTTCTCATGTGAATAGAGGAAATAAGATAGTGAATAGAGGTTAACAAAATGTGGTAGTTATCAAATATAACAAGTGAATAATATAGTCATCTTCTCATACGTCATACCTGCATTCTATCTGTTGTAGAAAAATATTTAATTTGCATAAACTATTCATTTAATTCTCAAATTAAAAAGGTTTTTTTGCTTCAAATATTAATAATTAATTATCATATTATGTCAATTTTCCTCACTAGAAAAAAAATTACGATGAATATCAATTTGAGGCATCGCTCGGGACTTTCACTTGTTAAGAAATTAAATGAGCACATGTATTATTAGTAACAAATCAAAGTTATGAAGTACTTGTATCTATTTTTTGTTAGACGAAAATAACATAACCTACGTCGGATGTATACATTATGCGTGGTCAAGATCTACACCATCCAGTTAAAGTATAGATAAAAAAAAGATTCGATGAAATGAAAAACGAACGAATACGACAAGTATTGTAAATTTACAATAGAGATCAAAATACAATACATAATAACACGAAGTACAAACTACTTTAATGGATATTGTCAATAAACCTGCTCAATGGGTTGAGTCAATGGAGGGGTCCCTAGGGTTAGTAAAATTGGTAAATTGTGGGTCACATTAAAATATAAGTGGGTCGGGTCGGGTCGAGACCATTCATTTTTGCCCCGACCTTTTTACTTTTGAAAAAAATTACATTTATTTTTTTATTTTCCATAAATAAACTGGTATATGACTCTTTGACTTTTTATATCCGTTATACCAAGTGTTAAACTATGGAGAGAAACAAAAAAAATTAGAGAAGAATAATAGAAATATGGTTTATAATAGATTGAAAAAAAAAACAAGTCAAACTCAGATTTAATATTGGAGAATTAGGTTAGGTCTCGTGCCACGCACGGTAATTTTCAATAACTATTTAACACTATATTATATTTTTTGACTTTCATATGTTATAATCATATCAATTGAATGTTGAAAATCAACAAAAATGGTAGGATAAATCACACTAATAATAATAACATGTGTCGTTCTTGGAAAGCAAGTATTATTGAAGTATTCATAGAGTACTAGTCGATTGAAATTCTAATAATTATAAATTATTCAAGGAAATAAAAAAAAGCATCATTGATGATTTGATATTCGCATTTCATTGTTTAAGCTTGTAACTTCTATTACATAATTAAAAATAATCTAGAAAAAATTATATAATCTTATTGTAAGAAACGTATATAGTACATAATATTTCTTTCCTTAAAAAAAAATCCATAACAAATTAGGTTAAGAATATTACTTTTAATTTTTTTGCTAAAGTTTATAGTTCTCAATATGTTTTATTTTGGTAAGATTCAATGAAATCTTCTATTATACTTTGTAGGAAATTAATATTTTAAATATTCAAAAAGATTTGTTTTTTAAGTAAATTTTTTTTTTCTCAAAAAAAAAAAAAAACCTAAGGACACACCAAAAGATGACACGTGTCATTGCTGGCGTGTCTTTTAGTATATAAGTTAAATTATTATTATTACTATATAGTTATTATTATAGTTATTGATGAAAATAGAGCTGTTTGAATTTTGATATTACCCTCACATCTCAACATACTTTTTGCTAATGTGATTAATATATAGGTTTATTTTTAATTTTAAATCATTATAAAGGCCGGCCCATTTATTTATTGGACGGATTTAATTCATTTATAAATGAGGGAAGTTTTTTATTTTTTTATTTTATTATTGAAACAAACTGGGGGCAAGTTAGGGCTCTTATTAACCCATTGAATTAATTGCTCTGTCAGACTATCAATAAGGAAAAAAAATAATATAAACGGATGAACATAGCCCTGTGCCCCTGTCTTGTGCCTCCTCCTCCTCTCGCACCTCCCTCTCTCTCAGTTCTCCGTTGAAGCGCACTCAACGTCGCACTTGACGTTCGTCATTACAAACTATTTGTTCTCAGCAGCTTCTGAGGTAAATTGTCTCTTTTAGTAATCATATCAATTTCACAATCTAGGGTTCATCTTATTTAATTTATGTCAGTGCAGTAAAATTAGGGTTCGAAAATCTCAACTATTGGTTCTAAATACTAAGATTATGAAAGATCATTACAAGCGACTATGTTGCTAGAAAAGGAAATTATGAGCCTCATTGATTCTCATATCCCTGAAATTATGTTTGTTTGATAATTGAATCAAATTTGGTTGCTTTAATGTTAGGATTGAACTATGAAATTAGACCTCTTCTTCCTGAGCCCTGGGTGGCCGCCCCTTCTGCCCTCTGCTTATTTTCATTCATTGTGTTGCTTTCATTTTAATTTCAATTAATAAGTTAATCGTACGATAATCATTGATTAATGTAGTTGCTTTCTTTTAAGAATTCAATTTTTAGCATTACAATTAGTAATTTAGTTGCATTCTTTCTAATTTGATCTACTAATTCAACTAAATTAATGTAGTTTCTTTGTAATCTGATTCATTATTTGATTTTTATCATTTTCATCAATAATTTACTAATGTAATTTTTGAATTGGCCAATAAAATTATTAATATCTTCAGGTGATGATGGCATCAAAAATTAATGAATCGCAACTAAAAATTTGCCTACTAGTGGAGCATGGAACTGATGAGATGCCTCATTCGCTGTATACGATTGACCTACCAAGTGATCTGGAGCGGCAAACGGAGGTCGATTCTGAGGGGTTTCAAGAGTTATTACCCTTGGTAGTCTTCCCTCAGCGTAAGTTTCTGTACCAGACTGAATTCGTTAACCTCGGATCGAAAGTATACATCTTTGGAGGTGTTACATCTGATAAGCTTGACGAAGACCTATATAGAGCTGTACATGTCCTTGACATGAACGATCCTAAGCATGGGCTGCGCCGAGTTGCTTCCCTGAATGCCTCCAAGGAATGTCCTTGTGCGTTTGTGGCTGATGGTATGATCTACACGCTTGGGAAGGCCGAGAGAAAAGAAGCATCTGGCAAGTCAGGTTGTTTCGAGCGTTATATTCCTCGTATTGACAGGTGGGAAGTCCTTCCTGACCCCCCACTTCCGTGGGTTGACCTTTTTACAGCTGATTGGACTGGTCGTGTCACGGTTGTGGGTCGTGAGGTCTTCATAGGGAGTTATGGCAGGTATGCCATTTTTAACTTGGATACGTTAGAGTGGGCTGAACCGCCATCTGCATCTCTGGCTGAATGTTTCCCTTATGGTGCGCTTTATATCGATGGCTTCCTCTACCACCTAAGGGGAGGAGACCTTTGGAGGAGACCAGGTGCAGTTTGGGATCCTCACTATGTTCCCAAGCCTCTACAGATTGTTAGGAGAGGCCCCTTTCCCAAACATGATGGTTTTGGTAGTAGCAGCAAGGATATTCTCAAGAGCGCCTCTTTACAACCTGGGAAAGCGCAGGTCATGTCTACAGCTGCCGAATTAGCCGGCGAAGACAATACCTTCTTCACACATGGAAATTTTGATCCTTGGCGACTTCTCCTCCACTTGGGGGGCCCTTACTTCTGCTATCTTGTCACTGCCCAAAATATAAACTTGAAATGCCAAACGGTTGATTACTACACTCGTTTTGTAGGGATCATGATCTTTAAGAAGCCCCAAGGGGAAAATATCAATATTAATGAAAGCTGTCTTGTATCCTCGTTGATCTATAGAATCCACACCCCGTTCCGTAACTTTGCATATTGCCTCCGCTCCTGCGTTCTTGGTGATGTCCCGGAATGTAAGTTTTGTCTTCTCCCTTTGTTGTCTTAAAAATTAATGTGGTCTGATTGGTGGATTGCATGAGGCAAAAGAAGATTGCTTTCTTTAATATGTAGCTGCGATGGCTTTAGTTGTAGTCTGTAAAAAGTTGCCAGCTTATCTTTGAATTCATGTTATTTTTTTTAAAATCTTAACTTACACTATCAGATTTTTAATGTCTAAGGAGTAAGGACCTTAGTATGAGCCTTGGTTGCATGGACTTGAATACTTGAGCTTTGCTGGA